GGCATGGGGTCAAGGAAGAGAACATGGCAAATGGAAGGCAAGTGCAAATCAGCATTCAGAAGAAATAGCTCAGTCAGGAGACACACTCACTGATGGGAGGCAACAGGACTTGGAATGCATTATATGGTGGGCACGGGGATTTGTTTTGAATGTACTGTTAAACCCCTAAGAGGAGAGGCAAGCAACATAGTAACATAATTCACATCTTAAAAGAATTACAGTTCCTGTGTGAGGAAAATACTACTGGACAGAAATTACTGAAAGAGGAAGATCACTTGGGAGGCCATCAAGAAAAGTCCCAAGGGCACACAACAGTGATATCACCTGCCCTTATAGCCTGTGGACTCCCCTTCCCCCATGCACAGATGCTGCCTTCCTATCTTTAAAAAAAGAAAAACAAAACCCAACTGAGTGCCCCAAAGCAAGGCAGTTCTCTATTTCACCCAGCTCACTTCCTACTTAGTATGTTTTAAGTAGAACCTGCTGGAATCCATCTATGAAGATACCAAGAAAACAAAATAAAATGCCTCAAAGGATGGAATCTTTCATCAGACAGGTGGGTCAATCTCTCTTCCCAGAAACCTTGGCCCACAGTCCTGCTACTACTTCTTGGGCAAATCATACAAGAGTCAGAGTGAAAGCTCCCCCTACAGCCAATGTCTGCCTGTCCTCGGGAGCAGTGAGGTCTGATATAGAGAGTAGGGGTGGAGGGGAGGGAGAGCAGACACCACCGCCACCACACCATCTGGTTGCTGCTGTATGGATGGACATGTCAGTTCCCCAAGAAGAAGGCTGTGACCCTGTTAAAGAGATTTGCACTCTAAGCCACATCCCTCCTCTCATTAACCTCTGAGTGAAATCACATCAATTCAGAAAGACTGGGGTCCGCTGAACTAAGACAAAGGGAAGTTGGTCTCAAGAAAGGGGTAAACCAGTTTTTGTATTTTACACCACCACAAGTTTCTGTTTTAACCCCAATGCCCAGGCACTAAGGTGAGCTGCTTTTCTCTGAGAACACTCAGGCTACAAACAGAGATCAGAACAGTCTCTATCATGCATGTGCTGACCTCGTGTCTAAAGTAGGGGTTGGAAAAATTTCTCCTGTGGACTCGGTAAAAACTTTCATCTTTGTGGAACCTACACAGTCACTGTCACAGTTACTCAATTCTCTCTTTTTATAGTTCAGAAGCAGACATGGACAATAGCGCATAAAGAAACAAGGAGAGGCTGGCAAAACAGCTCATCTTTAAAGGCCCTTGTTGGAACACCACCACTCAAGCCTCAATCTCCTCACAGATCTGTGTTTGATCCACAGAATCCACATGTTGGAGGAAGAGAACCTACTCCACACTGTCATCTAACTCTCACAGTCATATTCTCTCTACAAATAAATAGCTAAAAAAAAAAAAAAAAAAAAAAAAACCTGTTTCAATGAAATTTTGTTTCAAGAAGCAAGTAGCAGGCAGAGGTTTACATGGTCCAAGTCTGTAAACTCCTCGTCCAAATACCTTTTAGGAGGAGGTGTGAGGTGGTCGATGCTGCAGCACCTGCTAATAAGAACGCTACTTTTCCAACCAAATGCTTGAGTTGTTTTACTTAGATGAAACCATGTTATGTGTTCCTCACAAACACAAAAGAGTACATACATCTTACTGGTTCTTGTACCTAGTCAAAAACTTGTTCCTAGCCAAAAATAACCAGAAACACATGAAGAATTAATTCCTGATGGAGTAGGAGAGACTCAGGCAAACCGCAAACAGAAGCTATGGCATAACAAAAGAAAAAGAAAAGGAAATAAATAAAGCAGCTACAGAATAGAAAGGTTTATTAAAGAAAGTAAAGCAGCATGAATCTTTAAAAGGGGAAGGAAGACACAAGTAGGAACTGAGAAGACAGGCAAAAGATAAATTCAAGGATGTGAACGGATGTATACAAAGTCTTAAAGTTAACAAAATGACACAGTCTTGGAGTAATATGCCATGGCTTGAGCATCAGGAATACATAAGCCAGGACCAGAGTTCCTGGCCCAATGAACACTAGACAAAAGAAAGCCATGGAAAGGCTATATCACCTGCCCCATGCACTTCTACACATGGGTGGTAAAGGTCACATATGCTCATCATGAACACTAATGACCATTATCCTTCAAATGTGTATGTGGGTGAGTGAGAGCTTTCCCACTCTACCTCTTAGCTGTCTTGCTCTGCTTGCTTTCTCCTGTGACACCTAATATGACATATAACACATATACAGTATATTGATGTACAGGATTCTGAGACCAAATAATTATCTGAGTAAAAGGCATACTTGTTTTATTCAATGCTGTATCTGTGCCTATAAGTGTGTTGAGTTGTTGTAAGTGCTCAATAATGTATGCTGGATAAATGAATTCTTAACTCCATTCTGCAAACAATCTTCCTCCACAGTGCATCTTATGTGAGATAACTGTATGAGAAATCAAAAGATCTAAAATGTAATGCTCTGAGAATGAAAGACTTCAGCTCAAGTCCATAAAATGACAGTTAAAAAGAAGCAAGGCTCAAAAACACCCCTGATAAGAAACTACAACAGGATCACTCATCTATAGTACCCACTCTATTAAAAGAAAAATACTCAGACATAGTCCAAAAGCAAGCAAAGCCCTTAACTTTCCTTAACAACATAAACAGGAATCAACGGAGGAATTTGCTGATTTTCATACCAACTAGGGTTGATTTCACTGGTAGAAAATCATACAATTTTCTTTGACGTATCTCTTTTGACAGATAATGACAATGCCCAATTAAATCCACTCATCAATCTTCTTTTAACATGTTCATGAATATTTCAGTTAAAGGTATCCCACTCTTCAATGTTAACAGAAGTCAGTTTAAACAATACTACTGTCTTCCAAGACAGAAGCAAATGCATAGATTTGTAGGCTTCACATCTTTGTTCTACTGAGACAAAACCAGCAGATGGCGCCCAATAAATCTGTTTCTTTCTCTGTGAAAGAGCTATTTCTTCCCCCAAACATAAGAATTTTGAGATTTAAGATGAAATGGAAACAAAATACAAATGCTTGGAAAACATTTAATGTATGTAAGTCATATAGTAAGAGGTGTCTCTTAAGAGAATGGAATTCTTAAAGTTCTTCCAAGTTCTTTCTGTTGCTGTATGCGGCTCACTTCTCGGTCTGTTGCTGTTAAATGAGTACTGCTAAACTATTTGGAGGGTGCTGGACTCAGATTTTCTGGTGGGCTTTTTTTTTTTTTTTTTTTTTTTTTTTTAAGCAACTTCTCCATCTCTCAGGACTTTTTCATAACCATATGGAACTGCTCAAATAATTAAGTCAACATTCAGACATTCTTCCTTCTGAAACAGGATCAGATATTTGCTTAAAATGCAGGAAACATCATTGGGTTGTTTGTTTTTTAAATTATTTTCATTTGGAATTTCAAGGAAAGAGCTGAAAGCTACCAGCCTTTCTTAACTCTTGACCCCTCTCTGTCTTCCCCGCCCTGGGACCAGGATACTTAAGCACTCTTGTCACTCACTCTGACGCTGACTGAAAAGAGTTGACTGGCTTGGCTGCTGTACTCACCCAGCTCTCAGCTACCTAATAGCATCCTAGGTTATTTATTGTCTTTGATTGTCTTGCTTCACCTCCAAAGTCATCAATGAAGCTAGTTCAGCAAGCTTCTAAGCTACCCCCTCCCACACACTAGAAAGCACAGAAGTTTCCAAAAATCTGGTCAGGTGGTTAACAATGTAAGAACAGCAATGAATTGCTAACTTCCTGGGGGTGATGGGAGACCAGATTTGAGTTCTAACTCTACTCCTTGCTAGCTTCACGGTCCACCAAGTGACACAGGTGTTCTGACACTGTCTCTTCTTTAAGGAGAGCAGTCATCTCATGAAGTTATTAGGATTACACAAAAAAATAAAGAAGCACAGCACACCATGTAAGTACTTGCAGATGCTAAATAATCAGAGGTGCATATGATTACTACTGCAATACAATATTCTTCTCGGCCACTCCCTCCTGCATGCTCACATGCAAATACACAAATACATTACAACTGGAAAAAAAAATCAGCATTCCCAACTCTATACTAAGCAGAAAAACTATGGTGGAGCCTCAGTGTATCATGTCTTCAAACATCCTTTCTCTTCTAACCAAGAAGTAAAAACATTTTTAATTCTGAGTAATATGCAGACAATGTATAAATCATACCCTTACATGTGGGAAGAATAATAAATGTCACTGAGAACTGGAAAGCAGGCTTCATGCAGAAAAGATAAGTAACTGCAGAGCTAACGTCTTAGGATCTGCTGCCTGGATTCACTTCATACAACAAGAATGAACTAGACAATGTCAGCAAAACCTCAAAGTAGAATTTTGGAATGCCAGAGGTACCTCATAATTCTACCTTCATTAAGAGTAGGTTAAGTTCATTCCTGATCTCCAAACAAATGCAAGATAACAACAAAACAAAGGTAGGAAATGAGCCCACAACCAGATTGGAGGATCCCATGAACCAAAAAAGGAATGTACCGTAAGATAAAACTCACATTTCCTTCTGTGGACAAAACAAAAAGAGACAGCTGAGAATTCCACCCCAGCTGCCAGATGCTCTGTATATCACATGGGGTCAGCAGTTAATCCAAACAGAGTTTTGTGGAGGGCTCCAAGGATATACAAGAGCCAACAGCTTTTTCTTGGTTTAAAAAGGAGAAACAGAGCCAGGGAGATGGGTCAGCAAGTAAGGGTGTTTTCTCCCAAGCCTGCAGACCTGAGCTGGATCCCACCAGCCCACATATTAAGGGAGAGAACTGACCCTACAAGTTGCCTCTGACCTCCATGGACATGCTGTGGCACTTACGTCCCTATATACACAAATTAAACAGATGAATGAATGAATGAATGAATGAATACATAAATAAATAATTTTTAAGAGCAAGGACAAGGAAACTAAAGAGCTGGCTTAACAGAGGTTAAGACCACTCACTGTTCTTACAGAGGACTTGAGTGTAGCTCCTAGCATCCATGCTGGACACTTGGGTGGCTCACATCTGCCTGTAACTCAAGGTCTAAGGAAGCTGATGCCCTCTTCTGGCTTTTTCAGATACCTGTATTCAATTGACATATAGTCAAACAAACACATTGATAAAAACTTTAATTAAAAAACAGAATATTAATAGTCTCATCTCAAGTGACAAAGCAAGTCTCAAAGAAGCAATGAAAAACTTGAATCTTCAATCAAAGACTGGTAACTTTAAAATATAAATCTTAGCCCAATTTCTCCTTCCATAAAATAAGAAAACTCCTAATTCATTGCTTTGTCAGAGAAGTAGAACAAGATTACTAAGAAAGCACACACAGAAAGTTCCAAGTAAATAACAGAGATACAGGACAGAAGTTTAGCTAAAGCGCCAGTTAAGCACTGTCAGTCCCGAGTTCTCACTAAGGACCCCACCAAAGAGATCAAAACAAAATAACACTCTGTCACTTGCTCCAGATCACAAAGTTCTCCTGTGCAGTTTCATATCTTAACTGATCTTCCTTTTGAGGACATAAATCCTAACCTTTTCTTCAGATGATCAATTATTTATTCACACATGGGGCAAAGCTCTTTCCTGAGGATGACTTGGAATTCTACTTGAGAACATTTAACCAAAACTACCATGCCTATTCGAAAGGCACTGAGATATAGAAGCACAAGTAAAACTGAAGAAGGCAATAGAAACAAATTTCAAGTGCTGCCCTCAACTCTTAAGGAATGTGCAACCGAGTAAATGGGGAAAACACATCCACAAAAATGCATCTAAAGTGTTAGAAGTGTTAAGTGGTCTGTGAAGCACAGTGGAGACACAAGAGAGGCATGATGGGTTCCACAGCAGGGCAAAGGGTAAGGCAGGGTACCATACAAACAAATGCCAGAAACAAATCCTGAAAGCTAAACGGTTCAGTGGTGGTGGTTGTGTGTTGTGGGGGGGGGGGGTGGTATTTCAAAGCAAGTAACAATATATTTGGAACTCATTTATTACGGAGCATTCCACCAACCCAGCATAGCACCACCCATAGCTAGGGATCTTTAAACTGCCAATTGTTGAAGTCAAAAGACTGCTGTAGTTTCGATAGGCAGTCCTCGGGCAAATTCAAAAAACCTGTGGGATCTTATCAGTTCTATTTGCATCATGACCTATACTGCTTCCACTACAAAGCAGATGTGGCCTTAATTATCCATGTCCACACAAAGAACCTGTGAAAATTCAAAATGACATAGAAAGTACTGTGAAACATAGTATGAAGTATTACTAGCTCTAGTAACAGAGTGATCCTCTGAAAATCACCATTTACTGGTAACATAACTGCTGCTACATTCAATAATACAAATCTTAACAGGGGCTTCAAAATTTATTAACAATGTACCCAGAAAGCTGGGCTTACAGAGAAGCTAAGTACTTGTCCTTTTGAAATAGCAACCTACATGACAATTTCCTGTTTCTCTTTGATGAGTTGCTATATCATCAATGTTGGAAGACATAAATCTACCCAAACTGTTCCATTTTAATTCACCAACGGCTTTTAAAACTGTTTTGTCTGTTTGGTTCAACTTTAGTGGGCACCAGGATTACAGAATTCTGGTTTTTAGGCTCCAAGCCCAGCATTCTACATGTTGGGAGTGGGGTGTTCTAAAGCTATCCTTTCTGAGGCTCCCATCAGTTCTGCCAGCATCTCCTCCTGCTGTCAATCTGAGCTTTACTATGAGTACAACACATCCAGTCTTCTATAACTAGAGCTCCCATTCAGGTAGCAAGAACTTCATAATACCTATTTTTTTTTTTTGAATGAATTAAGCATACAGAACATTGTATTTCAATCTTCACTGGCCAGCAAGATTCCTCTTCAAGTACTAAATGGAAAATTTAACTTCCCTCAGAGTTATTTGAAAGCTTAGGAAACATAAAGCTATTATAAAATGTATCCTTTAAATAGTCAGTGAAAACCACCCTTGTTAGTTCTAACAATGCCACTTAAAATGTAAAGCTCAAACTACTACAAACTGATTAAAAAGTCCAACAGATGGAAACAAGATTTTTCTCTGTAAAACCATACTGTGGGGCAACAGATGATTTCCTTATATATTCTGACATTAGTCAAAAAGTGCTGCTATTTAAATATAATTCTCAGATCTGGCTGGATAGAGCCACCAGTCAATGAAATGTTGAAGCAGACCTATCAGAAAAGTATTGTTAAGATAGATAATGCACTTAAGAGGTCAAAATGCTGGTAAGGCCCATGGTAGGAACAAAATATAACCTAACTGTAAAGTGAGTCAAAGATTGTTTCATTTCCTGCTGTAGAAACACATTTCCCAGGAACGGGAGCACGTGTGTGTAGGGGGTGGGGGTAGCGGTGGGGGGTTGAGGGAGGTGAGGATGTCCACTAACAAACTGTAATAAATTGATCTTTCCTACTGGGGAAACTGAGAACATTTAAGTACAGGTACCCTACGTTCTTTGGTTCTTCCCAATTTTGACTTATGCAAACTACATTTAGGAATATTTTTGAAAGTGGTCACAATTTTTTTTTATAGGTTTCTCTCTCTCCACACAGTACCAACATTAGTGCTATCAGATGATGATTCTAATGGCATTTGGACTGAGATCTGTTATAATGATCATGAACAAGTACATCAATCTCATAACCAAAGTGCAAATCGCTAGGAGGCTAGAAACAAGTCCAAAGTGGAGGGGGGAAAATGCAATGTGGTAGCCCTAAGTCATTCTTGGTCAACATCCAGATGCAGAATGGATCAGCTTTTCTGAGTTCCCTTCTGCACATAGGTTCTGGGCCTATCTTGATCTGAACACAAGTCCACTGGGACACTTGAAGAACCTTTTTAAACTCACACTTGCCAAGATACAAAGTGGAAATATTAACCAAAACCCTATTATTGTGAAAAGCACATTAAGCAATCCATATTAACTGCAAGCCATAGTACCTTTCCCTATTGAAGATGTCAATTGAAATAGTTTTTCTTTTCTTTGAAAAAAAAAACAGATCATAATGGCTGTGGATTAGTCTAATACAAGCAGCTAAAATCACTAGATATGGTTTTGTTTTGCACAACTTAAATAAGGAAAGGCAGCTAGTACTGGCATTTAAAAAAAATATGGTATTTGTCAATTATTAGGATGTTTTTTGTCTCATATCAGAAGCTATTACATGTAAAAGTATTGGTACCAGGAGAAAAGGAGAAAGGACAACATAATAGACCATATTAGTTGAGGTTCTGGACATTTGTTTTGCAATTGAAATGGCTCTTGAAAATCTAATAAACAGCAGTCTTATCCCAAGCATAGTGAAGACAATGATTATTAACCCATGTATTACCTTGTAATCTGTCTTGGAAAAGAATTTATCTCTCATGTGTGACTATATCATCAAATTAAATATTCTAAGGAACTTTTAAAGTTATTTACTTTGTTGGAGGAGTGCCTTTGTGTTTCCTTAAAGAGTAGACGTACTTGATGGAAACTCTCCCCCTGGCCCCATAGCCAAAAAGTAAACAAACAGCCTTAGAGCTATAAAAAGGCAATCTGCAACAGAAGAATATGAGAAATACACCTACTTTTGCCTCCTTAAAAGTGTTCTTCTGGTCATTTTATCAAATTGCCAACATCCAATATAAACCATCTGAGAGAGTGTTTGGCATAGCAGTCTCCTCTAGAGTTACAGCTAAAAATAGCATTAACCACAGAACACTCAAAGCCCACTGGAAAACTTCACAAACCAGTAAAGAACATTGTTCTAATTTAATACAAAAAGGTATCCAGAAATGCAGAAGCTGAATTCTGAGAAATACCTTCATGTTCTAGTGCCTTGACCTTACTAGCTCAGGGCTAAAAACGCATCACCCTTTTAAGGATGTTCTAAGTATAATGATGAAGTGTTTGGCTGATCACTGAGATGGCTATTCAACTATGTCAAAAGTTACAAAATATGATTTATTTAGATTAGTTCTCCCACTTATTTCAAATAAAGATGGCGACCTACTTCATGTTTCTACAGTTCATGAAGATGTCCTACCCCTTACCTGTTTGCTCCATCAATGCTCTACTGAAATAATCCTCTCCTTCAGTCTTCCATTCGATACATTTCTTAGTTCATTTATTCTAATTCTTATCCTACAACTTCTCTTTTGCATGTAGTCTTAAAATCAAATCAGCCCAAGTCCTGTCCCCTTTCTCACTGACCAAGCTAATTACCTAAAGATTCTGCCACCTGATCAGCTTTTTCCAATGAAAGACTATAGGCAATTCCTTCAGTCTCTTTATTGCTCTATTTGCTCACTCTTCTGGAAGATGCAACTAAATAGTCCCTAAAATACAAGAATTCCTATGGCTCATCAAATTACTACCCAGGCTTAGACTTTCTCACAAAGCCATTCCCCACATACAGAGCTAACTACAAAGAACTAAACTTGGTGTAAAGTAGAAAGATGTATTCACATTAATCATTCTCTACCACTACCCCATATATAAACTAAGGAATTCATTCCAGGTCTCCTAATTCTTGACACCTATACCTACTGTTTCCTTTTACTTTGGGTCTAAGAGGCAACGAAGACCCTTTCCGCCTTTTTCCAACATGTAAAAAATTGGCTTCTAAAAGCCAGGCAGTGGTGGCATACGACTTTAATCCCAGTACTTGGGAGGCAGAGGCAGGTGGATCCCTGTGAGTTTGAGGCTAGCTTGGTCTTCAAAGAGAGTTCCAGGACACTAAAGTGATGAACAGAGGTTAACATAACTGCAACTTGATAAGTTTAAAATTATTTCAAGTGAAATAATTAATTTTTAAAACTTGAGTTAGCTAAAAGACAAAAGAACTTTGTTTATGCAAGTGTTGTAAGATTTTCACAGTTGATGGAACAGCTGTGGGGCATCACAACCACTTGGTATATAGAAGAAAGAAAATGGACTTGAATCAGTTTCTAGGAAAAGCCCCACCCTGCCCATGTACTAAATGAACCATGTTGAATTATGTTTTTCTACCATCACAACTGCACTGTGAGAACTAAATGACATAAGTATGGCATGC